AAATCGATGTTTAACTGTGTTTTTTCAATATTTACTTCTAAATTAAGAAACTGGGTAATGTATTATACTAAAATTTGAAGTACAAAATACAGTTTTATACCAAACTTATAGACATAAATTCATGAAATAATAGTTCAATAAATTTTTTAATATGAGTTAACAAATGCGATGACAGGGCCTTTGACCCGTGACCCATTTGATAGATGGTGTATCCCTACTGCTGTGTGGGTCCTACTTCTGCAGTCACCTCCAAAAACGAGGACATATTTTATAACAACTTTATATATAGCCTATGCCCTGGTGACTGTTTTTGTTGTGCAGCATTTTGTTAAGGCTTGTTTTACATTATAAATGTGTTCTATTTCACCATAGTTTTGGTCTTGCTGTTTCTAATGCAGCCCTTCCTTTTGGTGTAAATATTAACTTAATTGCCCTGATAATGTTTATGTTCACATGATATGTATATATATATGACTAATCACATTTTTGATTATACTGAGAAAATGTGATGGATTTTTGTTGTTCAAGTGTAGTTGATAAGTTTTTCAAAAAAATTACATTATTGTCATCAAAGTGATATTCAGTATGTGAAATAATATGTGGAAAAGTTGTAACAGTATCGTTTTCATGTTTGATTTTAAATAATATGTGGAAAAGTTGTAACAGTATCATTGTCATGTTTAATTTTAAATAATATGTGGAAAAGTTGTACTAGTATGATTTTCATGTTTAATTTTAAATAATATGTGGAAAAGTTGTACTAGTATGATTTTCATGTTTAATTTTAAATAATATGTGGAAAAGTTGTACTAGTATGATTTTCATGTTTAATTTTAAATAATATGTGGAAAAGTTGTAACAGTATCGTTTTCATGTTTAATTTTAAATAATATGTGGAAAAGTTGTACTAGTATCGTTTTCATGTTTAATTTTAAATAATATGTGGAAAGTTGTAATAGTATCGTTTTCATGTTTAATTTTAAATAATATGTGGAAAAGTTGTAACAGTATCGTTTTCATGTTTAATTTTAAATAATATGTGGAAAAGTTGTAACAGTATCGTTTTCATGTTTAATTTTAAATAATATGTGGAAAAGTTGTAACAGTATCATTTTCATGTTTAATTTTAAATAATATGTGGAAAAATTGTAACAGTATCATTTTCATGTTTATTTTTAAATAATATGTGGAAAAGTTGTAACAGTATCGTTTTCATGTTTATTTTGGTGTTGTGATGCTCAAATGATAAGTTTTTAACATAAATAGTTTTAAAAATTGCCAATGATCATGGTATCTTGCTAGCTCAAATATTTGAAGATTTGATGTAAACACAATTGTTCCTGTAACACATGTGACTAGTAGTCTTTATTAACTGTGATTCCTATTGGTTATAAAGTGTACTTGTTTCATAATTTCTCTTTTAAAAGTGTACAAATGTTCTAAATATAGAGCTGGGCGATTAGTGGATTTTCTAATTGATTAATCATCAGGCTCATTAATTGATTACATTCAACTTACTGATTATTCTCACATGAGAGTTGGATATTTTGATTAACTGAATCAGAAAAAACTGGTTTTGATTAGTTGATTATTTATGTGAGTTGAACATTATTCAGTTATATTACAAAACCTTCTGCTAATAAGAAATAATGTCAATATTTTGGTTATTGGATAGTGGGAATAATTAAAACAGTAATAATCAGAAACATTAATTTCAATTAGTTGATTGTTTGCATGACACTAATTGATTTAATTGTGATTAGTTGGTTATTTTAAGTGGCATTAATCAATGTCATCGGTGCTTGTAGGTAATCAATTAATTGAGTTAATCACTCAGCTCTAGCCATAGATATGTATATGTATGTATTATACAAACCAAAATTATCATTATTATGAGAAAGTTGTTTTCATTCTCTTCAGCTAGGGGAATATTCTGAAACATTTTTTCCCCACTACAGTATCTTCTGTTAAATTAATTCTACTCAAAATAATTGTAGGATATTTGGAATTTATCTTTATGCAAACCAAGTACTTGTTAATCAGTCATGTGTAAACTAAAAATGATTGGCCATTCAGCCTACACTCATATATGACCATTTTGGTAGATGTGATTTTGCATCTTTCCAGTTTGCGACATTTCATTACAGAGTATGATCACTAAGAAAAACAAATTGAGCCTAGCACCAATGTTGCATGCTTAAAGTCAGACTGATGATAAGGTCCCGAGCTATTGTTGACCTCTCTTTTGTAAAAACTGTTTTTAGGGAATCTTTAAGGTTAATCTCCTGTCAGAATGTCATGCATCATCTCAATAGCATCTCTTACGTGCTTGATGAGACTCAAGCCCAATGAGCATGAAAGCCATTTTTTTCAGTCAGTTTCTTCTTTATGAAATGTATTAACAAGCTTTAAGAAGGTGGGTGTGTTATCACCCATTAGACTAAAGTCAGGGCCAAATACACCTGCATGTGATACCACAAAGAGATGGTAGGATGGGATCCTTGTCATGTAGCATTAGTGGTATCATTCCATAAGATATTTTGAGTTCAGAAATACTTAATGCTGTTTGCATCATACTTCTACCACTGCCATGTACATCACAATTCTGTATTAAATTCTCTACAAATGAATATAGGCTTGTTATTTAGCTGCAAGGTAAAGCTTGTCTCATCTGTGAACATACTATTGCTCCACATGTTGCTGGTTCATTGGATATGTACTTGGAAACATTTGAGATCATCTGCTTTGCATCACACTAGGTGTCTGGCATGCAGGTTGCCCTCGTGAATGTTGTTTTGAATCATTTGTTCATTGACATGGCGTCCATTTCAGTCTTGGAGCCTGTACCCTATAATTGCAGCAAACAAGAATTAACAGGTAGCCGTTATCTGCATCTGTTGTGGATGGTTGTCCAGACAACCACATCATTGTTTTAAAAGCCAGATGTCCAGACAACCACATCATTGTTTTAAAAGCAGTTTCAAGCAAATTTTAAACAGGTTGCTATAAATGGCTGTCTTCTATTTCTTCAATAGCTCTTCACATGAGTAAAATATCCAAATGTTTTATCTGAGGTCTAGTCATAGTTCATAAACAACTTAAAGTATCTTGTAATTACCTTTAAATTGATGACTGAGAGATAACTGTATGAGACTATGTATAGTTTAGGCTGAATGGTTAATAATTTACATCTCCGATCACATGACTGATAATCTGAGATAGATGGTTAACATATTTTATAACAGTATTTTTAACAGTGTATAATCATATACAGTTTTTAATACATTTTACATAAAAGCAATCATTAGCTGTGGAAGCTGGCTATAAAATAATTTTCAATTTATAATCTCAGTGTATCAAATTCAACTCTCAACTCTAAATTTTATTTGAGAATTTAACTTGTATTTGCAGGATGCAAATACTACGTATCTTACTCTCCCATACTATGTTTCTTATTTACAAAATTCTTAAACTGCTCTGAGTTCAGATTTTTAACACTAAATCTAGTAGAGGTCATTTGATAGATTCAACCTAAGGAGTAACTTTTTGTGACTAGACTGCAAGGAACATATTTACTGTTTTGTGGGGCAGTTATGTTGTGTCCTTCTTGACCTTGTGTTTAAGGAATATCTTATGATTATCACATGGAACAGGGATATTTCCACATCGTGTTGACCTTTTCTTATTACTCAGCTGCAAGGAAGATGTGCTTTGTAATATGCAGTTTGGCATTTTTGAGAAGTTGGATTGATCTTTATGGATAGCAGTTCATTCTTTTCTAGAGGGCCAAAACTAGTTTGTAGTATTTCTGTTCTTCTTTTGAAACTATTTCTATGTTGATCGCATATACTTCAATGTAACTATTTCCTTTTATTTTAGTTAATTTTCTGCCACTTTAACAATTCATTGTTCGACTTTCTTTTTTCTCTCTACTTATTAGAATTAAAGTACTCCATTTTATTTTTGACTTCAACACTGTGCCTTGTTTCTTGCATTAAACCCTTCACATTTCCTTCTACATGTAAGATTGAGAAACCTCTCATTTTTGCAAAGGTCACATAGTTGTTTTCAGGTATAATGTTGAATTACTACTTTTTCACATTCCTATGCAAATTGTTATAATCCCTTCATTAAAGTGTACGTAGCTTATGTGTGTCTAAACCTTCACAAGAAAGATTCCATAACTAATTTTCATCACAGTTTTGGAGCACACTTTATGGAAGAAATTGGCATAAATAGTTGTAATTATACAATTTAATACTATGGAATCTTTAAATGTTTTTGAATATTTAACATAATAAAAACAGTATATCTGAATTAAATCATATCTTGATAATTTCATTATAACACCAAAATTTTTTTAGCATTATTTGTGTGGAAAAAGTTCTATTGGCCATTGGTGTTGTTTTTTCTGAGGCACATTGCTTTGTTATTAGTTTTTCTTCCTGGATATGTAACAGGTGACAGTAAAATATTTTGTAAACCTATTTTTCTTTACTAAAGCATTTCAAGTTTTCAGACAGTCAAAGACTATCAGTTGTTAATATAATATTAAAGTGTGTGTGTATATATATATATATATATATATATATATACATGTATAAGCAGATAGATTATTTATCAGTATCTTTCCATGCATTAAACAGTCTTAAAGAGTTACAGTGCTTCACTCCATGTTATGATGTATCTTGCAATACTTTAAAATCATTTTTGGCAATAATCACAAATATTAAGAATGTCATCTGGTAAGGTGAACACTACTTCAATAATATTTCTGTTGACCATGGGTATTTAATGTTTATGACTTGTGTAATAATGACACCAAGAATCACAGGTGGCTTTTTATGATGTCTAATTGAGGACATATTTTGAGTTCATGCTGTGCATACATGCTTATTCTAAATACTGTAATGTATTCTGATCCATAACCAAGATTTTCTTTTTGATATACACAGCTATTGTTGCTGGATGTGGAGCTGCTGCTATCTTTGGAGTTATTGCTATGGGATATTGTTTCTACACGTAAGTATTTTACCTATTGTGTCTTAGATTCTCTCAATATGATACTAGTTTTCATCGAAGTTAAGATTATCCTGGATGCAAGTTCTTTGTTTTTGAATTCAACACTTTGCCTTGTCTTTTGCATTCCATTTTTCACTCTTCCTTCTGCATGTAAGATTGATCAGTCTCCTACTTTTGCAGAGATAATTTATAAATTTAAAATAAATTTTTTATTTAAACAGAAGACTTTTATTACATACATTCTTATTTATGTCTTAAGTGTGATACATACGCATTTTCATAGTTTTACATCACGACAAGTGTATGCAAATTCACAAGTTATGTATGCTACACTACAATATACATGTTTGTTTTTTAATATTACCCAACCCTCTTACTACAGAGTGGGCTGTAAGTCAGTGTTTAACATGACATGAAATTTGGGCTTAGTTCTAACTCTTCCATAGGATTGATTTTAGGAGTTTATTTTTTTAAATAAATACATAAATACAGTGACATAAAAATGCAATTTCACTTAATAGTTACCTATGTTTGCAATGTATTGGCATTGTAATCTGAACAAAAGAATGATGGTGGCATCTTGGATTGAAAATTGGAAAGTTAGATTTGTGTGTAAGCATGACAATATATATATATATATATATATATATATATATACTACTTACTACTTACTATTAACTTATTTACTAGTATATTAGTTATTTAACTATATAGTAACTTATTAATAGTATGTTA